AAGCGAGTCTCCTGCCTCAGCCTCCCAAGTAGCTGGGACAACAGGCGCCCACCACAACGCCCGGCTATTTTTTTTTTTGGTTGCAGCCATCGTTGTGTTGGCAGGTCCGGGCTGGATTCGAACCCGCCACCTTAGGTGTATGCAGCTGGCACCTTAGCCACTTGAGCCATAGGCACCGAGCCGCACCACCCTCTTCTCCCAAATCTTGATATAAGAGACCTTTCTCTCCCAGGGAGAACATTCCTACCTGGCTCAAGTCTTCAATCTCACCCTGTTGTGCATGGAGGAGTATGTCATAGAACCAAAGTCTGTACAGTTCCTGGTACAGCATGGCTTCAACTTCAACCAGCAGTATGCCCAGGGGATCCCTTACCATAAGGGCAATGACAAGGTAGGCATCCAGCCTCGAGTCTGCCCCTTTTGTGATTTCATTTCTTCCTATATTAGGCTGCATGCCTAGGGAGAATCTGCTGCTTAAGGAACGTGAGAAATCACTAGTGACAGGGATGAGGAAACAAACCTGATTGGAGACCAGGTGGGTGGCTCATGCTTGTAATCTTAGCACTCTGGGAGGCCAAGGTAGGAAGACTACTTGAGCTCACCAGATAAGACCAGCCTGAGCCAGAGCGAGACCCCATCTGTAAACAGTAGTGGGGTGTTGTGGTAAGTGCCTGTAGTCCCCGCTACTCCAGAGGCTAAGGCAAGAGGATCACTTGAGCCCAAGAGTTTGAGGTTGCCATGAGCTATGATGCCATGGTACTCAACTGAGGGTGACAAAGTAAAACTCTGTCTCAAAAAAGACTAATGTAGGGGCAGCACTAGGTAAGGTAGAGGGAGAATTTTCTGGGTCCAGGAGCCTGGAATAAGTGTTCCATCCTTCTTAGTAACCCCTTCCTTCCACCTAGGGTGATGAGAGCCAGAGCCTATCAGTACGGACACTGTTCCTGGAGCTGATCCGGGCTCGGCGGCCCCTAGTGCTACACAATGGCCTTATAGACTTGGTGTTCCTGTACCAGAACTTCTATGCACACCTCCCAGATAATCTGGGAACCTTCACCGCTGACCTGTGTGA